CAAGGTACAAACAAATGGAGTCTCTCACTCGACAAAATTTGATCTTATCAAGTAAGCAACCTAAGTTTTTCACCATCATTCATAATTGATGCCATAGTGAAACGTCTTTTTTTACCCAGACAATTCATTGCCGCAATGATCGATTATTATTAATTAATTCCTTCCATATTGACATCATCAGATCTGGTTTCAAATCAACGGTCGTTCTTTTTCCTTTACTGGGTGTAACCTGGTTGTTTGGTATTTTGGCGTTGGACAGGAACACAATAGCGTTTCAGTACCTCTTTGCTCTTTGTAATTCACTGCAAGGTTTCTTCATTTTCGTGTTTCACTGTCTACTTAATTCAGAGGTAAGAAAATGCACTACATATCTTTTATCATTCGCTCATGGGGCCACTCACAAAAGAAAACATACGACTAAAGCGGATGGTGTCCAGTGAGAAGAATGAAAAGCAGTTTGTTCAGAAAAAAATCCCAAAAAGGCTAGATACACCGTTTTGACATACTATGCTTACCGCTTAAGCGGTGAAGATTTAAGTAAAGCGTTCAACTTTAGTTCAAATAGCGGTGAAATGGACGCATATAATTTCCTCTCCACAGAGGATCACAATAGTTACTTCAATCTATATACATATGCGTACTTAAACTCATACCTGAGGCGTTAAAGATCCCATCCCATTACCATCCTTTTATCCTTTAGGTTCGCAAGGTTATACAACGGAAGAAAGAAATATGGTCTAGCCGTCGAACAACCCTCTTCTCGCCTTCAACGACCACACCCTCTTCTGCCGTTGCAGCTTCAACATCTCACGGAACTACGCTATCGGTAACTGTTCTTATGAAAATATCAGTGAAATCAGGGGTGTAGCTATGTTTTTTTTAAGGGGGTAGGACCAGTCAAGGCTTTAAATTTCTGCGCGCAGTTAAAAGGACCGGTTAGTGGAATATCTAGCATTGGCAACATTTTATCTCAGGTAAAGTCTAAGGATGCGCACGTTTTCTCAAACCTAAATTTTAAGATTTTTTCTATGTCCTACACCAAAGGGCATCCTCAGCATAATTTATCATTACTTACTTAATTTTCCTTGATGTATATTTTAAAGGATGTGAATATGATATCTGTTTCTGATGATGCCAGCAACAGGAAGCTCGCAACCGGCAGTGGTAATAGCAAATCTAAACTTCTACCTAAAGAAAACGGCAATGATGCTTCTCAAAACGCGAATGACCGAGTACCTGTTTCAACGGATGGCGCAAACAAGGGCCTTTCGATGGAAAACTCATCGCCCGCTTGGCTTTCCAAGACTGAACACGATCCAGGGCCTAAACGAATAAAACTTCCTCCAGTCACGGTTCCAGAAAATGCCAAACGAAAGCAGAAAAGAATCACAAACAAAAACTTAAAACAGGGGAGCAAAGGAAAGCTTAACACAGCGATCGAACCTCTACAAGAGGAGACTTGAATGAGTTCATTAAACTGTACTCTTACAGTGGTAAAATAATTATCCATAACCAGCTGTGGGGCAGAACCTACCCACGAAGGCAACTTTGGTCCGGGAACTGTGAAAAAACTGCCGTTGGACGCTAAGGCAGAACAGATAGTCCTGAACCACGCACACATTTTCTTTTTACGATCAAGACCGCAGGAATGACATTATCACTCATGTATAGTTTGAATTTTTTCATTTCTACCAATGATGAAATTGTCTACAAACATACTTGAACTTCATCAGCTTACTGTCTGGTATAGTGCAAAAAAAATGTAACATTCTAATAAAGCGCTTCGTTCCATGCATGATGTAAATGGTGCAGTTCAACTCTAAGAGGTATTTATAGCTTGCTGTGAAATAACTCCGCGCCCTTAGCTTTTTCAGGTGGCGTGACTATCAAGGATAAACGCAGCACATTTTCTACAATCAAAAAGCCGGAAAGGCGGGAAAGAGGCCGGTTTTTAACCCAAAGAAGGAAGAGAAATCCGAACCACCTTGGCCAAATGTTGAGTGCAAGGAAGGTTCAGTAGCATTTTATTGAAAAAGCCCTCGCAGTAAGGCTCGCTCCATTAACGTTTTCATGGTCTGCTTGAGGTGCCCAGAAGGACCTGATGTAGCCTTCAAGGTTTTCTATCTGACAGGCGGTCAAAAGACTAAGCTCGGATTTCGAAACCCCAATTAATAACATTGTTTGGAAGAGATGGATTTCTAACATAATCTAAAAATTCCACATATCCTTGTCTGGGTGCTTAAAAAATTAAAATTAAATGCACACCAAGGTCAACCAATCGCTCTGCCCGAAACGTCAGCTTTTAAACTCTTCACGGTGGCCAATTTACGTTATCAACTTGGTTGATAATACTAAATTACCAAGTGAATCAAAGTACTGGCAATGCCACTTCGAAATTCATAGAGAAGGACTCGTCGTGAAGGGCCCCGCGTGAAGCTATCTCTGGCAACAGGCACCGCACGTCCGAATGATGCCAAAAAAGTTCTCGCTGAATATATTTTATTTTAAAAGAAATCGGGTTGATATGGATAAAAGGTTTGTCTCTTGTGGGTAACCTTAATAGGAAAAACAATTTTTGACCCAAAGACAGTGACCGATTCTGTTGTGCTTAGTTTAATGGCTTTGTCTGTGTGTTCATGGAATGTCAAGACAAGGATTTGCACCTTAAAACCGGCTATTATTTTTATTAATGTATTTGCTCACTGACTCCAAAGTTACCATTGAAGGATTTAAAAAAGCGCTTTGTTTCCTTCGACACAATGAACAAAACGACTAATTACCATGGCAAAATTCAATGTGAAGGTGATAACTAGTAGCAAGTCACCCATGGGAGTTTGGTTTTCTATGGTCTCAAGGCGCTTTTTCTGACTGGTTCCTAATGACTACCTCGATTTGAATCAAATCCAAAACAACCTTTGGAGAGTTTAGAGTAAATGTACGTCCATTTTAGTTTTTGAATCATTCTTTAAGTCAGCGTCATGACTTAAGAGGCATCACAAATGATCAAAAACCTGAACTGTGTTGACCAATCATCACCGCGACATTCAGGTAACTTTGACTTATTCAATTAACATCAAAGTCATGCTTCATGTTCTTTATTCTAGGCTGTTTTCTAAGGCATGCTTTTACAGACACACTGTGACTCGATTGTGAAATTATCCTTTACGTCTTTACGAAACTCCTCTCTCTTTATGGTCATTATGTAGACCTCTTGTTGCTAATTTCTGTTAACATAGAAGTCTAGCAAACCACACTTATTTCACGATCTCTGTGTCACACTTGTGGTCTTGGCAACTGGTTATGCTATAATGAAAATATGAGGTATACGAAGTGTGAAAACTGAATAAAACAATGGGAACGAAACCGAGGATCAAGAAAGAACAAACAAGAACATGTGTCCTTAATTTTGCCGACATTGGGTTTAGCGGATCAGATATTCAACCAATAACAGTTAAGCTCGTAATGACAACTCGAGAAAGCAGCGCGAGAGATTCGAGAGAAACACGTTATGTCTTTGAGCACTTGGATGACGCAGTTTCTTAAGGCCCCACGAATTCAAGTTTGAGTACTTCAGCAAATGGCCACTAAGACAACCCAGAGACAATAGTAACGCGAGGGCTGGTGCTCATGTGGTTGCAACAATGCTACACACGTCACTAAAAATGAGTTTTTATTTGGTAGCTTTCTCTGAATCCTTATCGTCCTTATCAAACGTCTGTTTGTTAGTTATCTATAAATTACAGGAAGGCTGGTGACAAAGTAGTACAATACGCCGCCACTTGTCAAGGGATTTGTCAATTATCTTCTCATCAAACTTACAATGCAAGGGTCCTTAGTATTCGCTTGAAGAAGATCAGAGCTTTGTTTGAAGGCTTCACCGGTGGTCACAATCCTCTGTCTTCGGCAAGGCGAAAGTCATGCTCTACCAAGTTTAACTCGAACTTAAGAAGTGGCTGCGGATTGATTGAACTTAATGAACCATGGAAACTTTTTCTAATTTTTCTCATTAGAAGTGCGCGTCACCAGCCAAGAATAGAACACTTATTTCATATTTTAACTTATAAATTTTATTAAGGTATTCTCGCTTTTTTTCGTCATTTTTATTACTTGCTCACTCACCTTTTTTTTTATTTTTTATAAATAATCGAAACTGTCAACTACTTATGTTGGAGAAACGCATTTTATTAACCGTTAAAGTCCGAGCTTTGTCTATCTGAAGA